ACGCTCGACGGGCTTCTTTTCGCTATGTTCGGCCCCTGGGGGGGCTACCGGGCCTCGGGACCGTCAAAAGACGATGCAGGATGAAAAATCGGCCCCAGGGAAGGGGGGTCTGGGGAGGATGCGTACGGTCGGGGTTACTCTTGCTCAGCGTGTCGCGGCAGCGGCCCCAGCGACACGCTATGCCCTGCGAGTGGATAGCGTGTCGCTCCGCTCCGCGGGCCAGAAAGCTCGGAAAGGCTCCGGACGCTTGACGCCTGGGGGCCGCGACGTGGATGGCGAGAGCGGGCGGAGCGACGCGCTGCCCAACAGATCCCGACAGTCGCAGGACAGAAAACGGCATAAGCATAATTTCTCTGCTCAGCTGCCCCGATACGCAACACGCAACACGCAGCGCAGTGATCCGGATCTCAACACGTCTGCTGAGCCATCGGTCCAGCGCGGCACGCTCGCTAAAACGTGGGCCAGCACGTGCCGAGCCAGCACGCCGCCGGTTCAGCCCAGGCGTTCTGAACACGGCACGTGCTGCGTGCAGCACGGGCACATCAAGGCAGCTAAATCCCTTAGATTTGTTGAATCGAGGCTGGACCCCCTCCCTGGCGCCAGGGGGCCCAGCGCCGAACTTAGAAGTCCGCGCGGACCTCCACAACATTGCTTACGCGTGCCACTGCTCAAATCCGAATGGAGGAGGATGGGGAGGAAGTGGAGGACAATGTGGATGGGGCGGAGGCAGAGCGGGGAGGGAGAGGGTCAGTGGGGACAGATGGTTGTGAGGAGGATCGATGAGCAGGAGAAAGCGAGGTTGATGCCAAGGAGGAGGAGGTGGAGGTGGAGAAAGACGAACAACGAAGAAATGAGGAGCATGAAGAAACGGAAACAAGCAGCAGGAAGGAAAGGAATAGCAGCAGACAGGGAGGACGACGGATATATAGAGGAGGGGAAGAGGGGGAGTAACAAAAACATGAGCAGGTCATGGATAACGATAACTAATGGGAGGAGAGGAAGAAGAGGTCAGCTAAAGGGGACGAGGTATGCGGCGTGCGGCGGACATGAGGAGGAACAAGCGAGGATGAGTGCGACAATGAGATGAGCCATTGAATACACTAATCAGGTGGATGAGGAGGATGACGACAACGACAAGAAGCATGCAGGAGGTGAAGGAGCAGAAGGCGGAGGGAGGTGGATGAAGCGGAGGAGGCGAGTGGTGATGAGGACGAGCATGAGTACGAGCAAGAGGAGGAATATGAGCATGAGCAAGGGCACCTTCTGAAAGAAAGGGACGGTGAATACTGCATGGGGGAAGCTCGACAACGACCAGACGGAGGTAAAGAAATGAGGCGGACACGATGCATATGAGGACGGATCAGAAAAGGAAGAGGAGGTGGATGAGGAGCAGATGGAGGCGCATGCGGAGGTGGAGGAGGATATAGGATATAGGGACGAGGAGGAGGGCGAGGATACGGATGCGGATGAGGGGCAGGAAGAGTTCCACCAACCCTCTGAGCGTGAGTGTGTTAGGGAAGCTCCTCTTTAAATCCCATGTTCTTCCCATTCCGTAAAGGTTTCACCACTGCTCCTTACAAAGGCGCACCCCCTCCCCCACCAGACTGGCGAAAAAACGCCCCGCCATCCCTACCAACAAACAATACCAAAGTGAATTTAGAGCCAACATGTGAATCATGCAAGGGGCAATGCGAAGTGCACTCACAAATAGAAGGCGAGCCAGGGGGGGAAGTGAGAAGGGGCGTGCCTTCTCAGAAGGCTCGGAAGTCCCCCAGACTTCTGAGAAGTCTTCCAAGCCTTCCCCGAAGACAGAAACAACTTCTCAGAAGGCGCAAGGGCTTCTGAGCAGTCCCGCGGCCCCGTGAGAAGGCCTTCTCCTTCAAAATTGCCCCCCCTCGCTCGCCGCCGAACAAAGACACCCTGGATCCGCGAGGACGACCCGCGACCACTCTGCACTGGAGTCTCACGCCCGTGGGGCCGCTTCCCCGTGGACGCCCGCCGCGGCGAGGGGATGCTCAGCGGGTCGTCGTCGTCGTCGTCGTCGTCGTCGTCGTCGTCGTCGTCGTCGTCGTCGTCGTCGTCGTCGCCACCGCCTGCTGCGCGCAGGCCCAGGAGGACGGCTCGGGGGGGGCCAGCACACTCCCTGCTGCGCGCAGGCCCGCCAGCCCTGCCGGCAGCAGGTGCAGAGCTCCCTCTGCCGAGGACGGCGCGCGGGGCGGCATACTGCCCCTTGGCATCGCGCGGACGTGTGCAGTTTTTCCTCGGCGAGGGCCATCGAGGAGCATCCCGGAGCATCGGGCAAGACAGGCACGCACGACAAAAAAACATGCGCGGGAACTGGACGTCCGAGCGATGGCGAGTGCCTGCCGTGTGCAGGCTCAATCGCTGCCCAAAAGAGATACAAAAAAAAACGTGCAATGCGATTCCGGGTGCACGCCTGCGCGCACCGTGCTCGCAAACCCGCAGTCGTCTGCGCTGGCTTTTGACGGCGACTGTGGGGCGGTCGACGTGTTGCCGAATCTGGCGCACCTGGTGCGCGAGGCGCACCTGGCACGTGAGGCGCACCTCGCGGACATCGCGCACCTGGCTGGCGTTTTCATCGATTCCCGATGGTTGTCGATCCTGTGCTGGGACTTGGGTGCTACGTATGTAGTGGGAGGGCGGGTGGGAGTGAGCGACACCACGGCTTGCGGCCTGGACGGAGGCGGGGGCGCGAGCGGCTAGAGCGTTCAAGATGGCCTCGGCGAGAACGCACAAATCACTGATGGTCCTAAGATGTTGGGCCCCGAGATGGCCCCCGAAGTGCCTCAAGAGGGCCCCAAGAGGTGCCGACGAGGCCACGAGAGGCCCCCCAAGATGTCCCACAGAGGCCCCCCCGGGGCCCCAAAGAGGTCCCCAAGAGGTCCCCAAGAGGCGAAAAGAGCCCAAGAGGCTTCCTCGAAACACCAGAGACGCTCCAAAAGGCCCCCGGGAGCGCAAAAAAGGCCCCTAAGGCGCCACCAGAACACTCCAAGAAGCTCCCGGCAGACATCCGAAGAGAACCCGAGAGGCATTCAAGAGTCCTCGGGCCTTTCGGCTCGCCCTCCTCCTCCTCCTCCTCCTCCTCCTCCTCCTCCTCCTCCTCTACCTCATCCGCCTTTTCCTCCTCCTCCGCCTGCCTCCTCTCCCTCCCTCTCCCCCTCCCCCTCCTCCTCCTCCTCCTCCTCCTCCTCCTCCTCCTCCTCCTCCTCCTCCTCCTCCTCCTCCTCCTTCCCCGCTTGGGATATGACGGCTATTTCATTGCATGCTCCTTCACATCTCTGATAAAAAACAACTCCCCTGGGCATCGTTCCTGGATGGGCTGGTTGGGTTCCGCGAAGCGTCTCGAATACACGGAAACGGAGGCAAAGGAGGAGGAGGAGGAGGAGGAGGAGGAGGAGGAGGAAGGAGGAGGAGGAGGAGGAGGAGGAGGAGGAGGAGGAGGAGGGAGGAGGAGGAGGAGGGAGAGGAGGAGGAGGAGGAGGAGAGGAGGAGAGGAGGAGGAGGAGGAGGAGGAGGAGGAGGAGGAGGAGGAGGAGGAGGAGGGAGGAGGGAGGAGGGAGGAGGGGAGTCGCAGCCCGAGGGGCCGACGGCGAGAGGACGCCGACGAGGCAGACGCGCGCGAGGACGGCGCGGAGCAGGAGGCAGGCGCACGAGGACGACGACGAGCACGAGGCAGCAGCACGAGCACGACGGCGACCCCGAGGACGCCGGCGAGCAACGAGGAAGGCGAGGCCGACGGCGAGGACCCCCGAGGGCGTCGACGAGGGCGGCGCCTCGCCGAGCTCGTTCTTGGCCTGGGCGCCGCCCTCCGCCGCGGCGCGCTCGAGGCCCGCGAGCCGCTCGGCGCCCGTGGCGTGGTAGGCCGCCTCGAGCTCCTGCCCCCAGGGGGCGGCGCGGGGGGGACGGTTGGACATGGGACCCTCAGCCGGCCAAAGCACACACACACACACACACACTCACACACACATACACATCACACACACACACATCACACACACATCACACACACACATCCAGGATGCACAAGAACATGCAACAAGCACGAAGAACATGTGGGTATGCTCCCCGAGCCGACCTCGATCTAATACCTCTGTCCGGCCGTAGAGCAGGAGGCAGCTAATGAACACGAGAGTGATGGTGATGTTCAAGATGCTGATACTGGTAGTGTTGGGTGTGGTGTTGATGCAGCGGTTGGTGGTTGTGGTGGTGACGATGGCCGTGATGATGATAGCGATACCGTTGTGATGATGCTGGTGATGGTGATGATGGGAATAATAATGATGCTGATGATGATGGTGATGCTGCTGATGATGATGGTAATAATGATGTTGATGGTGATGAGCATGATGATGCTGATGGCAATGGTGTTGACAGTTAGTGTTATGCTGACGCGAACGATGTTGGCTTTGACTTATGTGAATGACAAAGACGGTGACTTTGGCTACGATGAGGGTGATGTTGCTGATGGTGATGATGCTGATGACGGTTCTGCCAACGACGATGAGGAAGAGACGGAGGATGATACTGATGATGGTAACGCGACAGATGCTGATGACGATGCTGATGCTGATGCTGATGATGATGCATGGTGCTGATGATAATGACGATGACGACGATGACGACGACGATGATGAGGACTATGATGATGATGCTGATGATGATTCTAATGATGACGATGATGATGATGATGATTATGTTGATGATGATGATGATGCTGCTGATGATGAGGATGAGGATGAGGATGTGGATGAAGATGAGGATGTGGATGAAGATGAGGATGATGATGATCATGTGATGATGATGATGATGATGATGATGATGATGATGATGATGATGATGATGATGATGACGAAGTGTGTGGGAAACCGACTCGGGTGAGCTGGCCCGAAGGCGATTCACGATGCACCCACAGCTGAGGCTGAAGCCAAAGCTGACGCGTACGGGGGCATAGAAATGTCTGAAGGGCGAATAAGAGGCAACTACACGACCGCTGGGCTGCAGCTGGTGACGTTGGACTCGAGCTTCACCTTCCACATGTCGCTCAACAACGTCAGCGCGGGCTGCCACTGCTCGCCTATCTCGCACGCGCTGATCCCAAGGCTGCAGCTGACTAACATGAAACCGTGGGAACTGCACGGCAGGCAGGTCGAAGCCAGCAGAACCGTGAGAGGGGCAGTGGAACTCCAGAAACAGTCGAATGTGCAGGTGCTGGTGAAGGGGCACCGAAGAGTCTGCGTGTCCCCTCCGTCACCCCGATGCGGCTGCGTGGGGTCCCCAGAGTGGCTGGAGCTCTGGGGTTGTCTTTGGGGTCTGGGGCTTTACTTGGTGCTCCTCTGGGGCTCCAGACACGGCGAAAGGGTGCCGGGGCTGGCGGCGCTCTCCTTGGACCTCCATGGCAGGTATCGGAGTCTCTTGGGAAACTCCGGGGCATCTCGGAGTGGTTCTTGGAGGTTTCTTGGCCCCTTGGGATCTGCGGTAAGCCCGTCGTCTGGGCTCTCGTCGGTCCCTCTTCGAGGCCTCCTGGGAATCGCTCTGGGGCCTCTAGGGGCCCTCTTCGGCAAATATGCGGGTCTCTTGGGCCGTCTTGGGGGCCTCTTTGGAAGCATCTGGTGGCCTTCTTCGGACATTTTGCGGCCCTCTTGGAAGCCTTTTGGGGTCTGCGGGAAGCCTGTCGTCCTCTGGAGCCTCCGGGAGCCCTCTTCGGCAATTTTGCAACCCTCTTGGGCCGGTTTGGAAGCCTCTTGGGCAATCCAGGGGCAATGCTGGGAGTTGTTCGGGGCCTCGGGCCGTCTTGAACCCCGCTTGGGGGCCCGTTGGGCAGCTCCTGAGGCCAGCGGGGCTTTTGTCAGGCTGTTTCGGGGCTCTGCTGCGCAGTCTTGCGGCCCTCTTGGGCCGTCCTGGGGCACGTGTCGGAGCCTCGTGGACCGTCCCGGGGCGACCTGGGACGCCCCTGGAACCGTTTGGGGCGATTTTGGGCCAAAATGTTGCGAAGATGAAAAATCGGCAAACAAAAAACAACGGAAGCTGTGATTTTGGCCTCGGAATGGCCGTCATCGGACTCTTCTGGGACCTTCTTTGGGGGCTCCTGGGCTGTCATCGGTCCCTCTGAGGCCTGAGGCAGTCATGCGTCTCCGTTGTGGTCCTCTTGGGCTGCCCTGGCGGCCTCATGAACGTCGCACAACAGCCTTCGGAGCGTCTGAAGCCGTGTGAGTGAGGACCATGCGGCGGCCCTCTGAACCCGTCAGGGAGCGTCCCAAGAGCGTTCCAGGCGCTCCAGGCGCTCCGGGGCGGTTTTGGGGCCCCGCACATTCCGCACGCACCGCGACCGGATTTGTAGCACAGATGACGTTGGGCTCCAGATTCACCCCCCGCATCTCGCTCAGCAGCGCCGGCGCCGCTGCCACTGGTCGCCTGACTCCCGCGCGCGCCGTAGATGATGACGACAGGTTCAAGCTTCGCTTTCCACTGCTCACTCGTCTCGCACGTGATGATCCAGGCGTTGTAGAATTGACTGGTGTGAGCCCGTGAAGAATCCACGGCCACAAGAGCGAAGCCAGCGGCCAGGCGAAAATCGCCCCTGTTGGCCATGGTGGGCGTCATGAGGGAAGGGTCTGGTCGAAAGTTGTTGCGGGATGTTCTGGGGGGAGCTGGAGGAGGGGGACAACGAGGGGGGAGCCCGAGCGGTTGGACGAGTAGGTTGGATGGCGCCTAGAGGGGCTGCGACATGTTGGTGTGTGAAAGGTGGGAAGCACGAGAGGGCGAGAATACATAATCAGGACAGAGGAAGGCGAGGGAAAGCGGCACCAGAGAGAGGGGGGCCGGAGGCCCCAGAGGAAGTTGAGGAGGAGGAGGCGGAGGAGGAGGAGCGGGGAGAGAGAACAGAGAAGAGAAAAGAGACGAGAAGAGAAGAGAAGAGAAGAGAAGAGACGAGAAGAAAAGATAATACACGATACTAGACTAAAAGACAAGATATGAGAAGAGAAGGGAAGAGCGAATAGACGAAAAGAAAAGAAGAGAAGAGATGAGAAGAGAAGAGAGCAAAACAAAACAACGAGAAGAGAGGGAAACATGGAGAGGAGCCTTATAGAGCTTTGCTCGGGGACTGGGGTTCTCTCTTGGGCTGCTTTCGAGGAGATCACCCCGCGTTACCCTTCAGTCGACTGGGAACCGAGGCTTGCTGGCGCGGGCACGGTGGAGCGGTGGCAAGGACAAGGGGAAGGTAGGCGAGGAGAAACAGGAGCGACCGTACCTTCAACGAGGACAACGAGGAGGAGGAGGAGGAGGAGGAGGAGGAGGAGGAGGAGGAGGAGGAGGAGGACGAGGAGCCCAGCGTACCCTGAGGTTCGCTCCGCCCGCATACCATAGCGGGAATGGGGGCGCGCCTGGCCTCGCAGTCGCGGCGGGCGACGCAGCGGCCGAAGGCGGCGGGGGAGAGAGGGGCAGCCAAATCTGGGATGGACGATGGGGCAGAGTCGTATGCAAATTGCAATGCGAAGAGGGGGGGGCGGATAATCCTGGGGGGGGGGTAAGGGTCTATTCTCTTAAGGTGTCTTATAACCTGCTTGACCTTTCCTTTTCAGCCAGGCGCTCGGCGGGGTGGCCGGCCTGACCGTACGCGTGCCCTTCCGGGCGGGGCGACGCGCGGCCCGCCCATTTTGCAAAGCTGATCCCAGAGGACGCCTGAGCCAGCCAGCCGTCGCTGCGCCTCGGACGCCGGTGGTGACGAGGGCGAGGGCGACAAAGGCGAGGAAAGGCCGACGACGACGGCGACGACGACGACCTCAACGACGACGGCAATGCATACGACGACGACGACGACGACGACGACGACGACGACGACGACGACGACGACGACGACGACGACGACGACGACCGTCGCTGCCCGTGATGTGCTGGATGGAAGGGGTCAGCGACGCCCATCCCGGCACCGTGCGCAGGCAGACTCATGCTTGCGCAGGCTGTGCCAAGGAGGAGGAGGAGGATGAGGAGGAGGAGGATGATCAGGAGGGAGGAGGAGGAGGAGGAGGAGGAGGAGGAGGAGGAGGAGGAGGAGGAGGAGGAAGAGGAGGAGGAGGAGAAGGGGAGGAGGAGGAGGAGGAGGGAAGGAGAGGAGGAGGAGGAGGAGGAGGAGGGGAGGAGGAGGAGGAAGAGGAGGAGGAGGAGGGGGAGGAGGAGGTCAGCGGTGCCCGAGACGAGGGGCCTGCAGGCACCCACAGGAGGACGAGGAGAAGGAGGATGAGGAGGAGGAGGAGGAGGGGGAGGAGGGAGGAGGGAGGAGGGAGGAGGGAGGAGAGAGGAGGGAGGCGGGAGGAGGGAGAAGGGAGGAGGGAGGAGGGAGGAAAGAGGAGGAGGAGGCGGAGGAGGAGGAGAAGGAGGAGGAGAGAGGCAGTGGGTTCGGGTCTGGTTGAAATCCAGTAGCGGCGAGAGGTTCTAGGGCTTGAGACTCTCTTGGGAGCTCCTTGGCGATTATCGGAGTCTCTGTGGGGGCTCTGGGGCATCTAGGAATTGTCTGGGGCCTTGGGTTTGGAGATTTCTTTTGGGTGTCTTGGAATTCAGAAACGGCGAAGGGGACTGAGGCTGGAGGCTCTCGTGGGAGCTAGCAACTGTCGGAGTCTGTTGGGGTTGCGTCCTTCTTAGACAGCTCTTGGAGCCCTCTTGGGCCACTGTGGTGCCCTCTTGGGCCGTCTCGGGGGCTTTTCGGGCGTCTTGGGGCCATATTGAAGATCTGGGGACGCCTGGGAGCCCGCTTAGGGCCATTTTTGGCCAGCTTCTAGGGCCATTCTGGGAATGTCTTGGGGGGCCACTGGCAATTCTGTCATGCCGTCCAGGGCCTCTCTTGGCTGCCTTCGGCTCTCTTGGGCCGTCTTGGTGCCGTCTTTGGGGCCTCTTGGGCCTTCTTGCGGCTATCTTGGAATGGCCCAGAGCAGTGCGGGGGGCCGTTCTGGGCCCAAAATTGCACCAACGTGAACAGCAGCTTATATACGTTGTTGCTTGATGCTTCGCCCCGTGGGGCCGCCACCGGGGTCCTCGCGGGCCGTTGCGGAGCCTCCTGGCCGGTCTTCGAGCCCACTGGGGCCGACAATGGGGCTCGCGCTCGAGACTTCTCGGGCCGCCCTGCCGCCCTCTTGCGAGCACCACGAGCTGTGATGGGGCCACCCGCGGCCAGCTCGGAGCACGGGGGAGCCGCCGGCGCCAAGAGGCGCGCGGGGATCTCTCCCCGCTCGCCCGTGTGCCACCGCGCTTCGCCCAGGAGTGCAGCACAAATGACGTTGGGCTGCAGCATCGCCTCCCGCATCCCGCTCAGCAGCGCCAGCGCCCGCCGCCACTGTCGCCCTTCTCGCACGCGCTGATCCCAGCGCTGTAGCTGATGACGTCGGGCGCCGGCTTCGCCTCACGCATCTCGCTCAGCAACGCCAGCGCCCGCTGCCACTGCTCGCCCTTCTCGCACGCGCTGATCCCAGCGTTATAGCTGACTAGGCCTGACCCGTGGACTCCGTCCACGACATCTTTCTGGAATGGTTCTCGGAGGAACGGCGCAGATTGTACCGAAAATCTAAAAACACGGCGGCGGCTCGGGCGGCGGCAGCGAGACCGCGCCTTCGTGTCCAAGCTCTTGCAGCGCTCCAGCAGCTTGGCCCAGCGCACTGCTCGTTCACCCCCCTCCTATTGAGGACAGTTTCGAAGTCTCTCGAGGATGTGCGTCGAAGTCGAACCCCATCTGAGGCGTCTCAGGAGCGCTTGGGGAAGTGCTCGGGAGACCATCGGGGAAAGCCACCGAAAGCGCCGGGGAGGCTCGCAAGGATCTACAGGGAGGGCCCAAGAGAGCTTCAAGAAAATTCGAATTTCTGTAAAGTATTTAGAGAAACCGCTGTTGGGTAGGCCATCACCTCCGGGCGCGCCTTGATGGTGCGTTCCAGTCGCATCACCGCCAAAGGGAGGGTTTGTTCGCCATGTCCCATTCTGTTCGCCCAGAGGGTCTGTGGAGGCCTTCGGGCGAACAGAACGGGACAGGGCAAGGAATGGGGAAGACTTGTCCGAATCTCCTGGGCCCCCCAGGTGCTCGTCCGAAGAATGCGGAGAGGTCCCAGGGTCATATCAATTGGCTGCTGTCCCAGGGGTCCGGTCTGCTTGGCCCGAAGAGTTTGCCAAGGCCCCTGGGGGAACAGAATGACACAGCATATCGGGCAAAGGGGGGCGGTAGCTGGCCTGTCAGACCCGGCGTTCGTCTTCTGCCCAAGCGGCGCGGGGCCCACGGGCCCCAGGGTTGGCGGCCCGCTGGGTTTCCTCTTGTTCGCCCACAGGGTTGGAGGAGGCCTCCAGGCGAACAGAATGGGGCAGGACAATGAATGTGGGAGACTTGTCGCAAGCTCCCAGCCCCCCCAAGTGTGCGCCCGAAGGGTGTGGGGCCGCGTTGGCTCCCTCAAAGGGCCGTCTTGGAGCCGTCCATGCCCGTCTTGAGGGCGCCGTTTGCCGTGATGGGGCCGTCTTGGTTCGTCGTGGGCCCCTCATGGGCGCGTCCGTAGGCCGTCCTGGGCCCATCGAGGTCCTCGTGGGGCTGTCTTGGAGCCGTCTGGGACCGTGAGGGGGGCCGCCTTGGAGTCGTCTTGGGTCCCTCCTGTGCGCCTCCTTGGGCCGTCCTGGGCCCAGCAGGGGCCGTGTTGGCACCCTCTTGGGGCTGTCTTGGAGCCGTCTTGAGCCGTCGCAGCGCGCCTTGGGTTGTGCTGGGTCCGTCTTGGCACAACGATTTTTGCCAGCTGGGGCTCTCTTGCCATCTTGGCCCGCCTTGAAGCCCCGACCGGGCGCATGCTTGGGCCGTCCTGGGCGCACCCTCCTGGGACCGTCTTGGAATCGTCTTGGGCCGTCTTGAGCGCGCCTTGGGCCCGTCTGGGGCCGTGTTGGCACCCTCGCGGCGAGGAAGCTCGGAGGCGGGCTCGAGGCCTCTTTGGGGCCATTTTGGAAGCTGTTGGGGCCTCTGTTGGGGCCTCGTTTTGGGCTCTTTGGGAGCTTCCTGGGGCCTGTTCGGGGGATTCTTGGCGGCCCCTTGGGGCCTCTTGGGGGCCTGTTTGGGCCTCCTGGCGCCCTCTTGGGGCGGAAGGCTCGGAGTTTCGGTCCGTGGTCCTTCTCTTGTTCCCCTGATGGGCCTGTCTTCGGGCCCTCGTGGGCCGTCTTGAGCGTCTCTTGGGTCGTCTTGGGGCCCTCTTGGGCTGTCTTGGGGCGCTCTTAGAAACCTCTTGGGCCGTTCTGGGGCGCTCTTGGCGGCCTCTTGGGCCGTCTTCGAGCGTCGGAAAACGGAAAAGGCAAGAAGGCCAAAATCCTTCCAAAACCGTCGTAAAGCGGATGATGTTGAGGCCCAAAACCGTCCAAAACCTCCTGAGGCGGTCCCCTCGCCTGCCCCCCTCGCTTCGAAGCAGTTTTTAAGCCCCGTGGCACCTCTTGGGGACCTCTTTTGGGCTCCTGGGGGCCTCTTGGGCCTCTCTGGGCTCGTCTATCGCGCCCCTTGGGCTGTCTTGGGGCCCCCTAGGGCCTTCCTGGGGGGTCCTCGGGCCGTCTTGGAGCCATCTTGGGCCGCTCTTCGGGCCATCTTGGGGTCCCGTTGGCCTGTCTTGGGCGCCTCTGGGGCCGTCCGGGGGCCGCCTTGGACCGTCTTGGGGCCCTCTTGGACCGTCTTGGGGTCCTCTTGGGGACCTCGTCGACCGTCTTGGAGCGGTCTTGGATGCCTCTGGGGGGGGGGGTTCGGAGCGTCGGGAAGCCGAAAAAGCGAGGAAGCAAAAAACCTGGGGGAACCAATGAAAATCAACGATTTTGGCCTCTCGGGCCTCTCCTGGGATGCCTCTTGGGAGGCCTATTGGGCCGTCTTGGCGAGCTCTGGGCGGTTCCTCGGGCCGTCTTGGAGCCATCTTGGGCCGCTCTTCGGGCCATCTTGGGGTCCCGTTGGCCTGTCTAGGGCGCCTCTGGGGCCGTCCGGGAGCCGCCTTGGACCGTCTTGGGGCCCTCTTGGACCGTCTTGGGGTCCTCTTGGGCACCTCTTCGACCGTCTTGGAGCGGTCTTGGATGCCTCTGGGAGGGTTTCGGAGCGTCGGGAAGCCGAAAAAGCGAGGAAGCAAAAAACCTGGGGGGAACCAATGAAAATCAACGATTTTGGCCTCTCGGGCCTCTCCTGGGATGCCTCTTGGGAGGCCAATTGGGCCGTCTTGGGGAGCTCTTGGGCCGTCTTGGGCCAATCTTGGGCGTCTTGGCCAGATCATTGCGCGTCTCGGGGCCCTCTTGGGCCGCCTTCGGGGCATCTTGAGCGGCTCGGAGCCGTCTTTAGGCCGTCGGGGCGGCCTCCGGAGCGTCTCGGAGCCGTTTCCAGTCATTTGGCTGGATTTCCTTCCGGCACGCGCTTCCTCCGGCCATGGGATGAATGGCGTCATGTTCGCCTGCCAAACATCGCTGAGCGAGGAGACGGAGGAGCGTCTGGACGCCGCACCTGGGGCGCTCAAGGGCTCCTCTGGGATCGGGTCGGGCTTTGTCGTTGCGTTGGGTCCGACCTTCTCGGGGCGTTCTGGGGCCGTCTGGGGGCCCTCTGAGGGGCCCCAAGATAACACCAACACCCCTCCAAGATAGCTCCATTGCCGCCCGCCCAGAATCGGCGGGACCGATTCTGGGCCACCGCGCCGCCGACCCAGAATCCCGCCGGACGCGCCCTGAACGGCCGGCCGCGCTTCCGGGGTCGGCCGAGGCGATTCTGGGCCACCAGAAGAACGAAACACGGCATGGCCCCAAGAGGCCGCGGAGAGGGCTCCAGACCGACAAAAAGGGCGAGGGATTTTGAAGCCAAATCCGGCAAGGAGTGAGCACCAAACAAGCATCAGAGGCCCATGGTGCGCTGGGAGCCGTTTTGGGACCGTCTGTGACGTCTTAGGCCGTCTTTGGCTGCTGTTGGTGCTGTCTTCGGTGCTTCTTGGGCCGTGATCTTGGGGCCCCTCGGGTTCGTTCTGGAGCCTCTCAGCGCTTCTTTTCGGCCTCCTGGAAGCCTCCTGGGCTTGGACTGTCTCGGGTGCCTCTTGGGCCGTGTGGAGGCGGTCTGGGGCCGTCTGAGGGTTGTCTGGGGCCGTCGTGGAAGTCTCCGGAGCAGTCTGGGCACCGTCTGGGGGTCGTCTAAGGCCGTCCTGGGCCACTCTTGAAGCTGTCTTGGGTGCCCCGTGGCGCGCCAGGGGTGCCTCAGGAGCCGTCCCAGGGCCATCTTGGGCCTCTGTATGGCCGTCTTGGACGCTATGAAGAGAGCAAGCCCAGGAACTGCCAAAATGCATGTTTTTCCCGAGGCAATGGGACGATTTTTCGATTTGCGGACTCTCTTGGGGCTCGTCGTGGAGCACTTGGAGCGCTTTGGAAGCCTCTTGGGCCGCCTGCAGGCCATCTGAGGCGTTGTCGGGGCCGTCTGGGGGTTGCCTGGGTCCGCCTTGGGCGTCTCTGGAGCAGTCGGGGCGCCGTCGGGCGGTCGTCTTGGGCCGTCCTGGGCCACTCTTGAGGCTGTCTTGGGCACCCCGTGGGCCGCCAGGGGCGCCTCAGGAGCTGTCCTGAGGTCGTCGTGGGCGGTCTTGGGGCCCTCATGGGTGCACCTTAGGGCGATCTTGGGGGCCTCTATGGCCGTCGTGGACGCGTCGGAAAGGAAAAGCACGATAATGCCCCAAAAACGCGTTTTCCGAAGGGAATGGGAAGATTTTGACCTCGTGAGGCTCTCCTGGGAGGTCCTCCAGGGCCGTCCTGGGAGCCTCTGGGAACGTCTTGGGGCCACTTGGGCGCCTCTTCGGCTGCCTTGGGGCCTTCTTGGGCCGTCTTGGGCCGCTCTTGGAGCCCTCTTGGACTCCTCTTGGGCTGTCGTGGGGCCTCGAGGGCCGTCCGGGGTCTGTCTGGGCCCGCCCGAGGGCGGTTTTGCCACACTGAGTCCCCCGCCATTCTGGCACGCGGCTCCCCCAGCGTTAGAGTATAGACTGGTGTGTACCCGTGCTTGCTGCCATTGGCGGCGGAGGTTGCCGAACCCACTCTCCTGGAGCTCTCGATCCCTGGGCTCTCTCTGGAGCATTCGGGTGGCCTTTCGGGCCGTCGGGCGGCTGTCTTGGGCGTCTTCGAGCGCTCGGGGCCCGTCTCAGAGGCCCTGTTGGACCGTCTTCGGCCGTCTTCGGGCCCCCTTGGGGGCCTCCTGGGGCGGCTCGGAACGCTCTTAAGCCATCTTGGAAGCGCGCCCGGGCCCCTCCAGGACGCCGCCGGGCGCGGGCCCACCGTTCTGCCACGAGAGGCCTTTCTGTGGCAAGATGCGCCCGGCCCTGTCTTGGAGGGACTCGAAGGCCTCTGAAGGGCCGCAAGAGCGCCCTAGGGGGGCCCCAGGAGGGCCCCGAGAGGGGCACCCAAATACATGCGTCGTGGGGCATTGTCGGGGCCCTATTGTGGTCCTCCTGGTCCCCTCTTGGGGCCTCTCGGGAGCGCTCC